CGTAGCCGGGGATCTGCCAAAACGTAAATATTTTTCTACATTTTGGCCTGTCATCCACACGAAAACTGAGTTTTTTTCACACGAAAATGGATATTTTTTTAAAACTCCGGCCAAAGTGAAGATCTGCGTTTTCTCCGTTTTGGGTGTCTGCGTGTGGACAGACAAAACCGGAGTTTTGAGGTCCGCAAGGTCACTTTCTGCGACAAAAAAATGCTGACATCACGTGTGCGACCTGTGTTTACACTAGCCGACAGCATGGATGCCCTCAGAGCTGCGCTCGCTTTATCAATTGTCCAAGCGCTTTTTGCTTGTTTGTGTTTGCAAGCGGAATTACTGCTCCTTGCGGAAGACCACAGACGAAGGACGAGGTTAAGAACGGGGGAAGTACTGCCGCCTACAGGTCTGGCATGTCCTTAAAAACGTATTTATCCGGGTACGTGATGACAGAGTTTTTTTTTTTAAACGAGGTGGTGTGGATGCAAGTTTTTGGAGGGGCGGATATTCGTTTTTAAAAAAAAAACCCGGCTACGTGTGGACTAGGCCTAAGGGAGACCACGGGAGCAAAGGACCTGGGGGGATACCTGGGGAGGGGGGAAAACCTAGATGGGCTGCAGATCAGGGGACACATGAGGAAGATGCAGACAAGGACACGAGGATGCTAGACACATAAGGAGAACCTAGAGAGGGATGGAGAACACAAGGAGACACATGAGGGAGACGAGACCATGACATAAACAACACAAAGTTGAAATATTTCTCTAAGTTTACAAATCAGAATGTGATCGGTGAATGACTCCTGTGTTGTAAAGCGCTTTGGGGGGCAGTAGGACTCTAGAAAGGCAGCCATTTATCATTTGTTTATTTACAATTTGCACATTTACAGTTTTGCTGTCCTCGTGAATGCAGGGAGCGATAAAACTGAGAAGCATTTCGCCAATCCAAGCAGATAATTTAAATCATAGTGCAATAATGTTAACTGTCTTCTTCTCAGTCGTGCACCAGCTCCTCTGGTTGCGCTTCAAGGATTTCCTGGGCCAGCCGAGAGATAAAATTCCTCTGTTGTGGCTGCTGACAGTTTGAAACACCTCCCCTCCCACACAAGTGTGGATGGTCACAGTTTGATCGAGATAAGCAGATGGTGAGGATGTGGAGAAACACATCTGGGGCTAAAACAACACTTAGTTTTATCAAGTGTCACAAAGTGCTTAGATAGTTCTTGAGTTTAGAAATCCGAAAGCATTTGTGAGTACAACGATACTGGGTGGCAAAGGTTAAATAAACACGTAAAAATATATACATGCAAATAAATATTTCCTGGAAGCAACGGTGTAGAAATAGCTTTGATGCAGAAATTTTATTCAAGGTAAATCAAACTTATTGTAATGGTGACTGAGATTTTTGCTAATACCTCCAATTGCACCCCATGGGTCACCGTCACAAAAAAATAACTTTTTAATCTTATTTTTAGTGTTGGAAGACTTATTCTGGACAAGACTGTGTCTGATGAAAACTTAGTGGGAATTGTTGTTTATGCTCCAGTCATAAATGGTAAGTAATGGTGGTTTTCTCTTTATCTGCACTTTTTTCGTCAGTTTGAAGTTTAGGTATCATTTCGTCATTGTAATTTGTTTATTTGTAAAAATTATTATGGAACAAAACTGCAGATCAGGGCCAGTACCTGTCTCTTGAAAGGAAAAATAATATTTGATCACACATGTGAACCTGAATGCTTATAAATAATCATCTCTGTGTTAATCCTCATATTCGTTTCAATGTCCGTGTGTTACTCATGCACCTTTAAACTGAATGATGCCCTAGCACTGAGTTAGACCTATATCAGATTTATGCAATAACTCCTCAAAATGTTTTCCACCTTCCTGGTTCTTGAAATCACTGAACAAACAAAAAGTAAGCCACCAAGTCGCCTTGTATTTCAATCACCCACTCTTTATTTACCCATACGCATTTAGGATTTATTTCTGCCACCTCCCAGTACCTGTGACAAATCGGATCTGTTCTCACAAAATGCAGTTTTATTCTCTGTCCTGCTGCAGATTCTCTTGCTGGCACCTCCCTAGATTTCTGAAGAACATCACCTGCTTCCTCAGAGAATAGCATTTCCACATTTTCAGTCAATCCTCCTGATAGGATGGGAGTCCACTTTTGCCTCGCTCTGTTTCCTGTTTTATCTCCCACACTGTGAACAGACTCCCCCTGCTCCTGGCCTTTGTTCTGCATGTGATTCTTCATGCATCAGCAGCAACTTAAACCAACTTAAACATGCATAGGTCAGATATGGCTAGAACTCAGTATGATGGCATATAGATCACAAGTGAACCATTCAAGATAAGAGTGCCCATGCATCATTCAGTTTAAAGGTAGATAAGTTACATAAGAACACTGAAATTAATATAAGGATTAACATACAGAGGATTAATTATAAGTATTCAGGATTACATGTGTGATCAAACATTATGTTTCCTTTCATAGGCTAAGAATAGAAATGTTTACCCGTTTATCGGCTGTGATTGTTAGTACACAGGATGTGATGTGGGTTTTGCAATTGCTGCATCAAGCATGGTCAAAGAAGATCACATGTGACATGGGGCTGCATCATTTAAAAGGAACATTTTCCATTGTTCTCCTTATCAGGTGTTGGAGGAAACCTCGTCTCCATCCAGGCTAGTCGTATCTCAACTCATCTGCATTTGAATTACTCACCCAGAGAAATTCCTGACAGCCATAAAAGCTGCTTCAACCTCTGTCACACCTTCGTTGGAACAGGTTTTCTAACTTTTTCTGTATAATGTAATGTCAAATGTCCTGCTCTTTATTTAAATATTGCAAACAGATGTTTTTCTTTATATACATATATATTTTTTACTTCTTAAGTTAAGTGGGTTAGGGGTAAGTGTGGTGTGGTGCTGAGGTCTGACAACATCCTCCGGAGTAAAAAGAAGATAAAAATTTAGATGGACCAAAGCATCGACAGTACTTAGGAGATACGTTTGTTCCTTGCAGGCATGGAGGAATAATGTTTATTTATTTATTTTATTTTTTTGTTCAATTCATTCAGTCAGATATAAAACAAAACATAATATAATCATAAAACATAAATCATTACATTCAAAGTGACTGAAAAGGCTCAGGCAGAAGCAAAATGCTTATATTTATGCCTGTCCTTTTTATTATATTATAATATAATAATGTCCTTGTTAATATAATAATAGTAATTAATTAAAACACAGACTGTCAAACTGAAATACCCTCCTCAATTCTGTACCTGGTATAAATAATGTTTATTTATTTTATTTTTTTATTCAATTAATTCAGTCAGATATAAAACAAAACATAATATAATCATAAAACATAAATCATTACATTCAAAGTGACTGAAAAGGCTCAGGCAGAAGCAAAATGCTTATATTTATGCCTGTCCTTTTTATTATATTATAATATAATAATGTCCTTGTTAATATAATAATAGTAATTAATTAAAACACAGACTGTCAAACTGAAATACCCTCCTCAATTCTGTACCTGGTATAAATATTGTTTATTTATTTATTTTTAAACAGAATCATAGTAACACATTTCCATAGTGTCCCCTCCATCCTATTCTCCACATACCGAAATACAAAAGGTTTTACTTGTTGTACGTGCAAAAGGAACTCTGAAATGAAATTGTTCCTGTAATTTATAACCCCCTTCCTTTTCAATTAATAATTTTTGGATGTTTTCTGATAAAAGTTTTTTCTTGCTAGAAATAATATTTGTGCTGTCTGCAATTCTACAATGTCTCTAAATTTTAGTTGACTGTATAAATAATTTATTAGTGTGATCCCTATATCCTACCTTATAAATGATTTGTATTTATTTCTTTAGCAAAATTATTAATAGTTGATTATTAATGGTTCAATAATGTTAAATTAAAGGTGTGGATGTGCTACTTTGTGGGGCCGGTGGCATGGTGTCAAACATTAACCCCCAAATTCCACTACCTCCGCTCCGCTCCGGTCCGCCCCCGCCTTCCGCAGCCTCTCGCTTCCGAATTCAATTTTTACTGGTACCCGCTCTACAACGGCTCCGCTCCGGTGTGGAGACCTGAGGGGGGCAAACAAGCATGCGCGGGATTTTCAAGATCTTGCGATACAGTCCGAGCAATAAACGCGGAAGTTAGATCCAAACACCCGTTGTGTGTGTTGGTCTTTCTTCTGTTAGACCAAGCACAGGTACGGAGAAGATGGAGATAAACACCTTTCGTTGGCAGAATGTGGAGTCAAATGATCAGAAGTCCAGTCACTGTTTTCACCGCTCATGAGGGGGAGAGCGTGCAATTCCAGCAGAGCCCGCGTTCTGCTCCTGTCTGTTGCTTCAGACACTCTCCCCGTTCTGCTGAAACGGCTGATTTTTATTGAGGATTACAGGAATGAAACATACGCAGTTTGCCATGTACATACGTCATTGATCATGACAGGTGAAAAAAATAACAGCCTTGTTAGTGGACAGTTAATACATCACGAGAACATGCATCCGTGAGATAACTAGGAACATCCTGGTACGTCCTTGACAGGAAAAGATACACATACACCGGTACCGGAGAGGAACTCAACAGAGATGGAATGTGTTCACTCCTTTCTCTGGTGCAGGAGAAGATATACAGCTATTAATCATTGTGCAGAAGAACACTGAGAGGCCTTGAGTATCTGAGCAGGATTCTTTCCATAGCATATGATAATATATAATAGCATTGAATAATACAAAAGAGTTTACCAGGTGGATACATATATTTTCATGTGGGAGAAGCATCGAAATGAACAGTTTAATCTGCCCATCATTTGTGTTGAGAGATTAGCAGTGTTTGGATCAACAAAGTGTGATTACTTTGATAGTGGAAACTGTATTCATGGCTTACTTTTGTGCATTTAAACTTCAGCCGCCATTGATAGTTGTTAAAAGTTGTTAAACCTGTGCATATGAAACAAAAAACACCTTTTGTTTATCGATTTATTCTGAAAAACGGCAGTTGTGCTTGCTCCTTTACCTGTTGGGCGGTTGTGATTTCTGTCCATTTACTGCGGAGGTGCTCCGGCGCCCGGCGAAAATAGGATTGATTCTATTTTTGCCGGACGCCGGAACAGAGGGCGGCGCACGGTGCCGCACGGCCGGAGCACGGCCGCAGTAGTGGAATTGCTCTGATTGACTACAACGGGACCGATTTTGCTCCGGCGTTCGTGTCGGAGCGGAGCGGAGGTAGTGGAGTTTGGGGGTAAGAGTTCAAGACCTTCTACTTGAGTTCCTCCTACTGGAATCAAGATGTGGGTTTCCTAAAAATTTCAGCCTGAAAAAAGATCCAGTATCCACATATATGACGTCATTTATGGATTCAGCTTTGTGGGCGTTCTATGAGCAGAGAGGACGCAGCGGTAACGGCTCAAATACTCCAGCTGCGTCCTGCGCGCAGCCGCTGTTATATTCACAAAATTGTTCCACCAAAACAAAGTAATTTGTTTGCGATCGTTTATATCAGCTCATATTCTCGGGTACTTTGCGTACTTTTCAGCTGAGTTCATAATCTGTGTATTTACTAATCTGGGTGTAAAACTAGACTCCCCCTTGTCATTTGATGCCCAAGTTGCTGCAGTAGTTAGATCCTGCCGTTTTCAGTTACAACGCCTATCTACCATCAAGTCAATGATTTCAAGAAAGGATTTAGAGACCGTGACGGGTGCGTTTGTACTATCAAGGCTGGATTACTGCAGCTCCCTATATGCAGGAATGACTCAATCTGCAATTGCAAGATTGCAGATGGTGCAAAATGCTGAAGCCAGGTTCATCTATGGGGTAAAATGGTGGGAGCACATGTCGCTCTGCAGTGGTTGCCTGTGAAGCATAGTATCGAAATGAAATTCCTGATTAATGTTTTCCAGGCGCTTGCCGGAACAGTGCCACCCCTACTAACACAGGTCCGTTGCAACAACGTTGTCGCAACGTATTTTCTGACACCTTGTGATGTTGCAGGAACGTCGTATGTTACGTAGTAGCGACTTCCAAAGTGAAATTCCGCTACGACGTTGTCAGAACGTCACATAGGACGTTGCTGGAATGTTGTCGCGACATATCCACAACTTTACTGCGAAATTGTGACAACGTTGCTATTGTGACGTTGTGACAACATACCAACTAAATGTTTGTGGCATGTTGCAGAGACGTTTTCAGGTAAACTTTTTTTTTGTCACCTTTATTCATTATGTAGATACCACAGGAAATCATATTGCAAAACTAATGGCAGATTAACAGCAAAAACAACCAGAATGGCAAAACAAATGTATAAAAACCTTAAAAACAAGTAATATAGGACAGCGGTGTCTTGATTTCATTTTAAAAATAAGCTCTACTGCATATGTTTAGTAGTAGGCAGCAGGATCTGATGTAACTTCACAAAGGATGGACAATAAACTGACTTTTCAGCTTTTTATTACATGAAGGTTTGACATTTTCATACACAATTTAAACAAAACATTTTTATAGCACCTCTCAAAATAAAAATCACAAGGCGCTTCAAAAAAATAAAAATAAATGATCAAAAATAAGAAATAGCAAATAGAAAAAGCAAAAATTGTGAACAAAAGAAAGAAAAAAAAAGAAAACAGAAAGGGTGCAGGCGGCACCTATGTTTTGCGGATTTTGTTTTTATTGTTTTTTATATCTTATGACATCCTTTATTCATATGGTCTCATTGTTGTCTCTAATTTTAATTGATATGATCTATGATTTTATCATGTACTGCACTTTGGGCAGCCTTGGCTGGTGGCATTAAGGTGCTTTATAAATAAATAAATGAAAATGAAATGAAAAAACACACACACACAACTGTTATCTGCAATGTTATTTCATTTTAAATGTCAAAAAGGTTGGGTGGGTCCCAGTGTTTTTGTTGCTGTGGGTAAACGGGTACACGTGACCACAGTATGTCACGTCGTTTTCTGGCGCTTGCTGAAAACAATTGCACTACCACCCTCCATGTCTATTGTTCCAAAATGAATCGAACTGGTCTCTGTTTTTAGAACTTCATTTGTGCCGGTTTGTGTTGTTGTAAGACGATCGCATTCAATGACGCAACCAGATGAACATATCTCAGTATATACAGGTCTGTCTGCTATCGCTGCCGGGTTGTTTCTACCCAGTTAATTGTGGCTTGTAGTTGTATATTTTGTTTTGTCCATCCATTTTTATCCACTTATCTGGAGTCGGTCACGGGGGCAGCAGCCTGAGTAGAGAGGCCCAGACTTCCCTCTCCCCAACCACTTGGGCCAGCTCCTCTGGGATAATCCCAAGGCGTTCCCTGGCCAGTTGAGAGACAATGTCCCTCTAGCGTGTCCTGGGTCTTGCTTTAGGTGTCATCCCGGTTGGGCGTGCCTGGAAAACCTCACCAGGGCAGCATCCAGAAGGCATCCAAACCAGATGCCCAAGCCACCTCTTCTGGCTCCTCTCAACATATGGTTGATCTAGGGCGCAAGGCAAAGCGGTTTAGAAAACGATGTTTTTAGCCTCGTTGACTTGCATTTATTTTTTCGTTCTTCCGGGGACACATGAGCCGACCGGAAAGGGAGGAGAGTTAGGCTCCCTATAAAGGGGGTATGGGGGCGGTCTCTGTGCTGCCGCAGACTTCCGTTTATCTTAGACATAACCTGCTTTTTATTGCTCATCAAAGTGTCTGTCTTCTGCAGTCCCTGTGTTTGAATCATTTTAGCCCTAAGTGCAAAGCTGCGCACACGCTTTATCTTTACGTTTTTCCATGACAGGATCAAACCAACGTTCTGCTCGAGTTCTGCTCCTTTTGGTTCTGCCTGGTCAGCTGATCTTCTTACACATTATTCACTTGATGAAAGGAGGCCTCACATTGCCCAGCCCTCTCTTCACAGTGTTCTTCCTGTCATTTTCCCTGATTCAGGTGAGTAAGTCTTGTGACGTTCCCTCCCTCTGCAGATTTCAGACGTTTGCAATTGAGTTCCTGTCTCTGTCTCTAAGGTCTTCTCACTGCTGTGCATAGCTGACTGGATGGTCCACTGTCTGTGGCAGAGGAGCAAAGATCCGGACAGTTATTCAATACCCTACCTGACAGCTCTTGGAGATCTTCTGGGGACTGCTTTACTCTCTCTGTCCTTTCTCTTACTGTGGTGCATTGGCGACCCAGGCGGTGTATAGAGTTACAATGACAAGCAGAAACAAAGTAGCCTAGTGAACTAGACCAAATTCTTGCTTTGCAAAGTTTGGTCTAGGCACGCTCCATTGGAACCTCCGCAGCTCCTACCAGGACTCTGGCTAGCCAATCACAGAGGGGTTTCAAACACATAAAGAGCTGTGATTGGTCCATAATGGTGGGCCAATCATAGTGCTCTATCTGCTTAGTGAACAAATCACAGAGCTTTATCCGCTTTGTGTGCCAATCAAGGCACTCTATATGCCTGGTGGGTGGGATGATGCAACAGAGTGAAACAAGAGTATGTCACATTCATTGTCCAGTGGAATGCGGGGATCATTTGAAAGACAACGGTAGAACCCGCCCCACAACTGAGAGCCGTCAATGGAGCGTGGCCAGACTAAATAATACATTTATTTAATCTGGCTTGCCAGGCTAGAAACAAACAACATTCACAACAAAAACCTGTTTTCATTTTTTCTATCATGACCTAAGTTGAATAAAGTACAAGTAAGTTATTGCAGAGATGTCTTAAAAGGGACATATTATGCTTCTTTCTGTGCTGCTATGTTAGTCTACTGCTTCTACACACTTCCAACATGAAACAAACTATCAATCTGTTTTCTGTTTGTGTTTGGTTTTAGAAATTACTTGCCTAATAAAAATAGCTTAAAAAGTCCCAGATTGTGACATCACAAACAGGGGAATTATAATAGAAACACCTCTCATGTGCAAGAGAGCAGCTACTGGAGGAGCAGTGGCTCAATTCAATTCAATTCAATTCAAGTTTATTTATACAGCGCAAAATCACTACAAGACTTGTCTTAAGGCACTTCGCATAATAAACATTCCAATACAGGTCAGTTCATTAAGCCAATCAGAAAAAAGTTTCCTATATAAGAAACCCAGCAAATTGCATCGAGTCACTTACTGGTGCAGCATACGGGATCAATAAAAATTACCCAACAGCAATAGTAGTAATTATAATAATAGTATCATTACAATTTCAAAATTACCCGTTTTAATCTACTTCAGAGCTTTTGTGCTCCAAGCAGTACTTTTAGAAGTTTTAATACAATTTTAAATCCTGCCTCAGAACTGAGACAGCTCTTTCAAGAGTCTTTATGTGGTATAAAGGGGATTATAGGGGCAGTCGTTACGCTGTCACGGACTTCCTTTTAGTCTGGATTAAACTTGTTTGTTATTGCGATCGAAGCCACACTCCTTACATTCGATTGACAAGCCACTCCTAAAGGTGACTGTCTGGTGATCTGAGCATCAGCTCTAACGCAGCGAAGCTTCTGGAGCTCTGCATCGCTCCACTTTATCGTCTCAGCTGATTCTGTTTACCAAAGCAAAACTCACGCCTGTGTTTACTTTCATTTTCAATATAGTTGCCAGCCAGAGCTTGGCGGACATTCCACACATGATCACGACACCACCTTCTGTTGCGCCATGGCCTAATCTTCATTCACAAGTCTGGCATTGCGGCAATATTACTACCAAGCTTGGCATCATTGCAGCCACTAAACTGCTGCATCACCTAGCGCTGTCATAAGACACACTGTGGCGGCAAAAACGGCTTCAAACTCACAGGATTTTTTTCCCCCTCAGCCAAAACCGGATGGCTGGAAACTTTCTACAGCTAAATGAAGATAAGACGGAGATCCCCATCTGTGCCCTGGTCAGCCCCTCAGACCAAACCCTCTGTCAGGAATGTTGGTGTGACCTTTGACCCAGCTCTTACCCTGGACTCTCATGTCAGTTTGTTAAGTTTCTTCTATTTGGTAAGGATTATTGTAAGGAAAGATGGATTTTTTTTTACCTGTCCCAACGGTTTTGGCTTCTCGCTTGAAGCTTTCTTCATGAGTTGCAGAAAAATCCATCTTTTCCACACCTTCATCTCCTCACGCTTAGACTACTGCAACTCTCTTTTCTCTTGTCAGAGCAAATCCTCCCTGAACTGATTACAGGTGGGTCAGAATGCCTGTGCTCGGCTTCTGACCAAACCGTCGAAACACACCCACATCACCCCGCTTCTCCTCCACCTTCACTTGGCTGCTAGTTAAATTCAGAGTTACTTTCAAGATCCTGGTTCTGGTCTATAGGGCCTTACAAGGACAAACACCATCATACATTAGTGATCTTTTTAGTCCCTACACCCCCAGCAGGTCCCTGAGGTCCAGTGACCAAAGCCTACTGGTTGTGCAGCACCAGGCTAAAGACCAAAGGTGACAGATCATTTGCTGCTGTGGCCCCCAGACTCTGGACCTCTCTCCCCCTGAGCCTGAGATCAGTGGACTCAGTGGTCTCCTTTAAAAAGCAAATCTGTTCAGGCTGACTTTGATGTGATGACCTGTTTATCCTCTCCTTCTTCACTGGCTTAAGCTTGGTTTATGCTTGACGTGTCCGTGAGGTTTGCACGGCTCCGTGCAGCAAAATTACGTCATTTTAACAACCACGCCCCTCCACTGCGCCTCCGCACAGCCCGAACTTTCCGCACCACGCACCTAGGAAATTTTCTGACCACGCAGACGGTCGGACGCGGAAAAACACGGCGGACTGGCAAGAACTAGTAAGGCCGAGGTTCGTAAATACAGACATTTGTATGATTCAGCTCTCAAAGATCACCGTGATCAACATGTTAATAATTCTTGGAGAGAACTAGCTTGCACTGTCGGAAAAGACGAGGACGCTGTTAAAAATGCTGGAATGCCATGTTGTAAACAACAGTAATTTTTACTTCTACTATGGTGTAGTGTTGGATGCATGCCGTAGAGCTCCATGCTGCCTTGTTCTGTTTGGGAGAATATTGGCTCACCGCAGAGACAAGCCCCATGAACCATACACGCTGCAAGTTGTGAAGCGCGTTCCATCCGCGAGCCGCATCACCAAGCAGAAAGTAAATGCATCAAGCATAAACCAAGCCTTATTTTCATGCCGATGTTTCTGTCAATTCTGTCTTTGACTGAATCCTGTCATTACAACTTACGTTTTCATTTATGTTAAAATTATTTAATCTTATTTTGTCTCAATTTCATTATGGATTTTCTGACCACTTTTTAAATTGTTCTTGTGAAGCACTTATTTTTATTATAACTCTCCCACTGTCTTTATGGGTGACTCCGCGAAGAAAGTTGACCATTGAGCAGGATTGATGGTTTATCCCGTGGTGCAGAAAATTCAACTCGCGAGGTCACACCTGTTAGGACAGTGGGAGGGTTAAGAGGGCATGTATAAAAATCCTTTCTTCTTGGTAATAATGGCTTGGTTTATCAAACAACTCAGTTATTTAAAATGAGCTGCTATTCAGTTGTAAAGGTATCCTTTGCATGCTGCAGAGCGCTGATGATGGCCCATTAAAATTTGCGTGTTAGCGGTGCATGAAAGTTCTCTGTCATCCAGCTGGCATCATCTTGAGTCCTTTTTACAAATGGGGAAGTTTGCATAGAATTCCCTTTCACCTCTCCAGACTGGAGGAACAGCATCTCTACTCCAAGTAGGGTGCTTAGACAATGTGGGACAGAGAAAACTGGGAGTGGGACAAGGTGAAATTGCACTGCAATGAGATAAAGTATAAGAGATCTAACATTATATACATACAGTTATTATTATTATTATTATTATTATTATTATTATTATTATTATTATTATTATTATTATATTTAATCTCTAGTAGAATTTAACTTGAAAAATCAAACAGCAAATGAGGGATTTTGTGCAAAGAACTTCATAAACATAATTTATAGAGATATTATAACTCAAGACAACAAAGTCATAATACGTTTATTTATTTTCTTTATTTATTTAACCTTTATTTAACCAGACGTTAAAGGTTGAATATGGAACAATTTAATGAATGTTGACGCTGCCGTTTGAAGACCGGAGAACTGACGGCCAGTTACCTTTGACAGAGGAATGAACAAACGCCATGCAGGCACTATTCGGTGGGGACCGGTAGTTGCTGCAGCAGCACCACGTCCTTTTATTTACGCATGCTCACAGATCAGTCACAGCTGTAAGAGCACAACAAATCAGCAAAGCTTAACACCCCCACTTGCTCTTATACAGTGAACTTAATGAATTTGAGAGCATCACAAAATCCCTCTTGGTGTCACAAATGGCCTCTGAGCTACACAGAGGAGTTAGCAGGACAGTTAGAGCTCTGGATGATAACAGCAAAATAACTTAACAACAGAGTGCTGCTGTGTCATCAAAGTTCTGGCTAAAATTTTTTGGTTTCATGGCTCAAGTGGACGAAATTGTTGTTAATTAAACATTTGGTGGAAACAATGGTTAAGTTACAGGATAGATGGTTTTGTAACGGCATGAAGGTTCTCTGATGTGTGGCACAGGTCACATTTGCCCAGCTGGGTCAAGCTGGGTCAAACAGTACTTTTGAGTCCACAGATCAACCCAAGGAGCCACGATGTCTGCTCAAGATCATAACATCATATCTGCTGTTCCGTCCCAGAAGAAGGACACTTCAAGTCACAATGATAGTCATTAGATAATAATTAATAAACTCATTGATTTTATTACTGTTTAACATAATCATCATAAAATGACCACTTGGTTCAATATAAAGGTATTTTAATTACATGAAATGGATTATTATGCTTTGGGTATAATAATAATTATTATAACGATTGTAAAGATGTGTTCAGCAAACAAGGTCAAGTTCACCGTATCCAGCTAACAGAGTTCAGATAAACAATAACTGCATCACATGTTTTTGATGCATGAACACGCTTTCTTCCAGAGCGAGTGTGATTGGTCCTGAGAGCTTTTGGTAAAACTAACCATCACAGATTTCAAGTTCAGTTCTTGAACCAACACCAGGAGGAAAGGGAATGCCCGTCCCTAAGCCTCCACCTGCTGTTCGGTCACGCCAACCAGAACAGCTAAGAATATACGAAACTGTCACCAGCTAACAAAGACTCTACCAGAGTGATTTCTGAAATTAAGTTAAGACGAGAACGTTCATCTGCCAAACGCTTCGTAAACCGTGTACCCAGGACATCTCCAGACGATCGGACACTTGCGTCTCCTCTACCAGCCGAAGTGTCATCTTGGATGAAACCTATCCTCCTGATGTCCGGATCCACAAAGGGTGTCCTGTTTGGGAGAGGTAGAACACGACAGATGGCGTTTGATGCAGTTTCTCTCAAAATAACTCATTTATCTGCAAAACATCATTTCACCCAGAACGCTTTCATTCTCTCTGAAAGAAACCTTCTGAGAACTTCATTCACGCATCCAAAACTCACCATTCGCAGATTAGATTTCCATGCAACACAGGTTTGCTTCTGAAACAAGTTTAATATCAAAACTGTTAAAGATTGTCATTAATATTGCCATCCTTGAATTGTCATTTTTTATAATTGTCGTTTCAAATTTTCTGTTTAAAATTGTTAGTAATAAATTTCTTCATTTTTAAACTTGTCTCATTATTGAAACGAAACACAGAAAAGGGTTGCATTTCCATTTATCCAATGAAAAGAATCTTACTGAATCCTCTGTTTAATAAATAAACTTTTGCTATTAAATGGGTACATGTTAAAAGGAACTGATGTCTTTAAGAAACATAGATTCAGAACCAAAGTTAGGGAATGTCACATTTCTGTAAATGATGTAAGATTGTGGAATGCCATTAACAAGGAATTTAAAGAATCAACTACACTTGCAATATTTAAAAAAATGTATAAAATCTAATGTATTTAGTAATTATAAAAAGGAGAATCATAATGTCAAAGATTAGACGTGAAAATATTAGAAAGTGACTGAGGTTACACTGTGTTTGTTTGGCGGATAATTTTATTTCGTAAAAAGGGGCAGAAATTATAAGATTTTTTTCTTCTATCTGCTCCTTTTCATTCAAATGTTTTTTTTTCAATATGTTAATGTATCCTGTATTTGTTTGTGTTTATTTTATACATTGTGAATGAAATAAAAGATAAAAAAAAATTTAATTAATTATCTTAAATTAAGTATTAATCCGTAGATTAATTATAGACCAAGCTCGTTGGTGTATGACCTTCTATCGCTTATATTAATATTTTATATGATAGAGGCTTCATAAATTCACTAGTATGTGTCATCCTAGGTCTAACATTAAATAGCACAGTGTTATGGGCTCGACACACGGGAGGCGACATCGCCTCTCCTCCATTCATTTTCAATGAGACATGCGCGACAAAGCGATAATCGCAGGTCTCCCTCTTACCAAGCGAAACGCGAAAAACCTGCGTGTGAAATTTTGCGCTCGTGCACGTGTCGTGCACAGGCGACCCAGCGACGCGATCCCAGAAAGTTGAAACATTTTCAACTTTTCATCGCTGTCGCTCGGACGAGGACCAATCAGCGGAGGTTTCAGTCACTGACCAATGAGTGGACAGGATGCTCCGTACACCTCAGAGCAAACACGGAGGAGAAGTTGAATATTATTATGTTTTATATAGTAAAATCACAAGTAAGATTTCACATAACTCTAACAGCACCTTGTGAAACATCATATGTATCGCTTTATTAACTCTGAACCGCTTAAATAACCTTAATTCCCTCCAACCTGACACAGCCAAACAAAACAACGGAAGTTTCGATTTCGCTACGGAACAGAACGCGTAGACGGCTTTGCCGCTGGCCGCTGCCGCAGGTCGCCTCCCGTGTGTCAGGTAATAAAAGCGACAGCGACAAATTTAGCTGATCGCGGTCGTTTGTCGCCTCCCGTGTGTCGAGCCCATTAGAGCTGTGTTTGTGAGGTTTTAATCCACAACAGTTTTCTCGGTTTAATATCTAGAAGTCAAAATGTCCCACAAGACAGGTGGGTGGAAAGTTTTTTAATGTGGTTAGTTAGTTAGGAGATCCAGCAGATCCAGCCCACACCTTCCTGCTGACATTTATTTATTTTTATTCTTCTAATCCAGGCATTTGGCATTTACCATCGGGTGACAAACCTCCTTCAAAGTAAGTACATGTATTAAATAATAGTACTGAATGCCTGAAAGGGAGGGGGAAGAAGACGGCTTATTTAATCCCACCCCCATTTACACATAACATTTTCTATATGCTTCACTACTATTGGCTTAATAAGATTATAATTAATGCTTCTAGTTTTGTTTTAAAAAAATAGATTTTTTAAATGTTGCGGGCCGTTTACATGTGCCACCCATTGACATATAAATATTGGACAATGGGTTTCCATAGCTCCAATAACACGTTTTTGAAGAAAAATGGGAGGTAGCCACCACCGCCATTTTGACCGTGTCACAGGTTCCGTCAAGCCCAGACAATTCCACAAATGGGAAGAGAGGTGGAGCTGAGGGTGGGGCTGTAAGGCTGGGATCAACTGACGACACCCGGTCGAACTAGCTACAAGCTAACCTGAAGCTAACCCAAAGCTAACGCAGAGGTGGGAGCTAAGCTAACGGAGGTAGCAACCTTGCTACAACCGGAGTTAACTGTGCACAACACCAGAGCTTCTGAGTCAGAGATACGCCGCACTGACCGCTGGGCAAAACCGGGTGGAACACAGAGGTCTCCCGAGAGCTCCACAAGCTGGCAGCCGCACAGCAGACAAGCGCCACTGCGATCTGAAATGCGCAGAGCTGCCGCTGGGGAGAACCGGGTGGAAAGGTTTCCATCCCAGAGCTCCACAAGCCGGCAGCCCGCGCAGCAGACAGGAGCCGCGATCAGACAGAGATGCGACGAGCTGCGGGGAGGGGAGAACCGGGTGGAAAACATCGGTCTCCCGAGAGCTCCACAAGTCGATAGTCGGAACCCAGCTCCACCAACATTTTATATTTCAACCCATTTTCTAAAGTGCAGCATTATGTTAAATGCACTGGGTTTACCCTATTAGATTTAAATTTCATGGTTAAACAGTACATGTTAAAATCTAAGCTCAGCTCGGCAGTGACCTAAAATACATAAATATAATTTTACTTACCGAAAAAAATGAAGTGGAGACTCCTTGGACGCTCTATTAGTGCAATTAATGCCACAGCAAGTCATTTTGTCCAACAATTGCACAAAAAATATCCAAAAAAGAACGCACAAACGCTACAACTAATGGTCTAAGTTGAGAGACTGAAAATGACCGAACAGTTTTCAGGCGAGGCCGAGGCTCAGACTGAGGCCTTTCCCCGGAGCTAGCTCTGTGGTCACGTGGGTCTGATGCTCATTAATTATACAGAATTTTAGGCTTTTAATACACTTAAATGGAAGAGTGAGAAAAAAAATTCACCCCCTCAGAGTTGTCATGAGTGTAAACTCATTTAAACAAAAACCATGTTTGGTACCAGGCTGTGAACATGTTTATTTCTGCTGTGAAATTGGTATTTTTAACATGGGAGTCAATGAGGATTTGCTCGCTTCTGACACCAGCCCCCAGCGGATGAGGGTGGAACTGCAATTTATTTCATTTCAGCGTTTGCTTCAAAATTTCACCCGGATTGTGGGGGCTTGGTGCCACCCTTGTTCAAATGTGTGCCCCTGCTGTGCCCCCCCCCCCCAAAAAAAAATTTTCTAGGCACGCCCCTGCCCACACGGGGCGTTGTTTGATGCGCGGGGGTTGTCCTAGAGGGGTTTCAGCCTGTCTCACCACGCTCGCTACAGCAGATTAAACAAACGCGCGTGATAACGTTTTGGAGAAGTTAAAAAAAAAAAAAGAAAGAAAAGAAAATCAATGATTTATGCACCACACCGTGTAGCCAACATCGCCGAATGGGATTATGGCGCATCTAACGGACTGATAGCAGATACTCCTGGTGATTCAAACTGTGGAGCTGGACCTCATCCTGAAAAAGTAAGTTGACAAACTGCAGGAGTTTACCGTGTTGGTGGATGAAGTTGCGCCAGTGAGAAGCACAGTTAACCAAAGTGGATGTTTTCTGACTCTAAAGCTTCGTTCTCAATTCGTTCTCTGCAGCGACTGTGAAGATCAGTGATCTGTTTTTCTATCTGAACAAGTCAGTTTAGTCTATTGGTGATGCAGCATGTGCGTCTGCACTGTTGAAGAATGGTTCATTCTTTCTCCTGTTGGTTAAGAGTAGTTTGAAGGAAATGCTTTCATGTTTATGTTTATTTATTTGGCAGACGCTTTATATCCAAAGCGACTTACAATTTATAACCTATAGGGCATGTTGTGATCTGTGGGGGAAACCGGAGTACCCGGAGGAGACCCACGCATGCATGGGGAGAACACTTAACTCCACGCAGAAAAGCCGCAGCCGAGTTTCGAACCTGCAACCTTCGTGCTGCGAGGAAACCGTGCTAACAACTGCGGCACCATGCAGCCGCAGAACTTAAGCCATGTAATTATATTTAGGTCACATGACTTTGAGCTCAAGTCGCCATTTTGCTGCAGCCAGGTGCCTCTCAGCGGCAGCGTTGAAGCTGCCAATAACACCTAGCTGCAGCTGCAGCATAGCAGGTAGGTAGCAGCAAGGCGCGTGCGCAACGCGAGTTTACAAACGCGCATGCGCGATATATAAAGGGTGCCGTGACGTCATATAGTCATAAAGGCGTTGCTCACCTTAACAGTCAGTTGTCTGTCTGTCAGCAACAGAAGTCAGTGGATCTTTCATTGGATAGCATCGTTTTTTTACAGTCTTGTAGAAATTCAGAAATGTCGTATTTTAAAATGGAGGAAGGAGCGACTATTCGAAGTAAAACCAGAAGTTACCAAGTTGAAAAAGTGCTTAAAATGGATGAAGGTTTTCCAACTTTGGCCGTTTGCAGAGTAAAGGAAAATGGAGAAACAGTGACTCTGAAATGCGCTCAGAGAAATGTTTCACCTCAGTTTAAACAAGAAGCTAAAGTTTTTTATTATCTCATGCATCATAATCCAGAAGAAAGCAATATTATCAAGTGTGACGAGGTATTTCATTTCCAGGACTGGATTTGCGTTGCACTAGAGAAGCTGGACACAAATTTGTGGGATTTCATGATAAGCAGAAACCACAAACCTTTAAAAGTTAAGGAAATTAGAGTGATCGCAAAGCAAATGCTTGTTGCTCTAAATAAGCTAGACAATTTATCCTTCACTCATTTGAATGTGGGACCAGAAGATATTATGTTAGTGGACCATGACTCACAGCCGTTCAAGGTAAAACTGAGTGGATTTGATTATGCCAGAAAGACATCAAATCTCACAGAGACGGTAATTCCCAAGACTACTGGTTACTGCGCCCCAGAGGTTCTCTTGGACTGCCCGCTTAATAAGTCTGTGGATATTTGGAGTTTCGGTTGTACGCTCGCGTTCTTGTTTCTGGGGAGGCCCTTATTTCCAACAAAGTGTAACTATGAATATATGAGAACTATTATAAAGCTCCTCGATCAGCCTGACCAAAAGTTTCTGGAGCAGGGGCGATCCGTCCAGCAGTATTTTACACAGAGTTCTGGTTGGAGGTTTAAAACGCCTGAAGAATACACGCAGGATACAGGAAGGACGATTCAGGAGAGCCGTGAAAATTATTTTCATTTAGAGTCTCTGGATGAATTAGTCAACCTAGCAAGTGACATAAAAGATGAGAGCTTGGTGGCTTTCATAGATTTTCTTAAGATGATTTTAGCAGTGAACCCAGAGAACAGAGTTTCTTCAGCTGATGCTCTCAACCACAGATTCATCACGATGGAGTGTATTTCTGGTTCCAGTTTAAACTCTGTTTCAGATACACATGCAGTCTCAACAGGAGGCCAAACCACTGAGAAAGACAGCGTCACAGAGATGGGAATTCACGAGTCAGACTCAAACCTGACTAGGTCACCCAGTGACACCGAATACTCACCTTTAACACTGGAGAGAGGAGGTAAAATCATTCACACTTCCGATGTTTACCAAGTTGTGGGATTACTTGGAACTGGGTCGTTTGGAAAAGTTTTCAAATGCAGAAAAGAGGGAACGGATGAGACGGTAGCAATGAAAGTATTTAGAAAAGGAAATCACTGGCAAGCAAAGAGGGAGGTGAATTCACATAACCAGCTCAGTGTTCTGGACTTAGACAAGAACAATCTGATCAGACTTATTGACTCTTTTGTCTACAAGGACTGCTTTTGTCTCACGTTTGAATGTTTATACCTAAATTTGACTGAGCTTATAATAAGGAGGTATGAAGGTTTGGAGGTGAATGAAATCAGATCTATTGCTCAGCAAGTGTTGCTGGCCCTTCGAGCTCTGAAAATAATCGGCATGACTCACACAGACATAAAACCAAATAATATTATGCTGACTGCTCCTCAGGGTCCCCAGTCACTTAATGTCAAATTAATAAATTTCGGGTCGGCTCGTAAAACAGCTGAATTATCAGAGTACTCAGTGATGCAGAATGAAAGGTACCGGGCTCCAGAGGTAATCTTAGGTCTTCCACGTGATGAAAGTATAGATATGTGGGGGCTTGGGTGTACGTTGGCTTACCTATATCAAGCTTCCCATCTGTTTCCAAAAGATGAATACATAACAATGCATTTTATTGTTAAACATTTGGGTCTGCCCGACAAAGAAATGCTTGATAAAGGTTGGCGTGCCAGACGCTTTTTGAAATTTGACAAGAGAAGAACCAAACCTTTTTGGAGGTTAAGAATATTTGAGGAATATAAACACCCAGTATGTTGTCATGCTGCACCAGAATATCCTTGTGATGACTTCCTAACATTGCCACCAAATTTGGGAAATCGTAATGACAGTTTAAGTTTTATAGATCTCGTCAAAAAAATGCTAGCTGCGAATCCAGCAGACAGGATCCTTCCGGAGGAGGCTCTCAACCACCCGTTCATCACGATGAATTATCTCCCTGGTTCCAGTTTAAGCTCTAATGTGTCAGAGATACATGAAATACCAACAGGAAGCCTAATTACTGGCCAAGATAGGGTCACAGAGATGAAAATTCACGAGTCAGGTCTAAACTTCACAAAATCAACCGATGAAATGGAATCCTCAAATTTAATATTGAAGACAGGAGTTAAAATCTTTCACCAATCAGATGCTTACCAAGTTGAGGAATTACTTGGAACTGGGTCGTTTGGAAACATTTTTAAATGCAGAAAAGAGGGAACAGATGAGACGGTAGCAATGAAAGTATTTAGAAAAGGAAATCACTGGCAAGCAAAGAGGGAGGTGAATTCACATAACCAGCTCAGAATTCTGCATGCAGACGCGAACAGTCTGATCAGATTTATCGACTCTTTCGTTTACAAGGACTGCTTTTGTCTCACGTTTGAATGCTTAAATACAACTTTTGTTGAGTTATTTAAAGAGACGCGCTTTAAACTTCAAAGGGTGATTTACCTCAGAACCGTCGGTCAACAGATGTTGCTGGCCCTTCAAGCCCTGAAAAGCGTCGGCGTGACTCACACAGACATAAAACCAGATAATGTCATGATTGCTCATCTGGATAACCAGTCTGTTAGGGTCAAATTGAGTGATTTCGGGTTGGCTCGTAAGACGGCTGAATTATCAGAATATTCTGTAATGCAGACTGAGGGATACAGGGCTCCAGAGGTTATCTTGGGTCTTCCACGTGATGAAAGTATAGATATGTGGGGGCTTGGGTGTATGCTAGGCTTTCTGTATCTAGGTAATCATCTGTTTCCAGATGATGACTACAAAGCTTTGCAGTGTATTGTTAAGCACATGGGTCTGCCTGACAAAAATGCGCTTAAGGAGGGTTGGCGTGTAAGACGCTTTTTCAAATTTGACAGGCTACATAAATGGAGGTTGAAAGATCCGAAGGAATATCAACACAAATATGGAAAGAAGAATTTCAAAAGACATTCGTTTAATTTATTTGATGAACCTCTTGATGACTTAGTGCGTCTCAAACCAGCTTGGTCTAATGCGAAAGGCAAAAAATTGTTTATAGACCTTCTTATAAAAATGCTAGCTGTGAATCCAGCAGATAGAATCCTTCCGGAGGACGCTCTCAGCCACCCGTTCATCACAATGGAGCATTTTCCTGTTCCAGATTACCTTATTAAATGGAAAGAGGCACATGAAATAGCAGAAAGCGAATTCACTGATCAAAATAGGGTCACAGAGGTGGAAATTCATGAGTCAGACGTGGACCTGACAAGCTCAACAGATGAAATAGAATCTTCATCTTTACTTTTGGACGAAGGAGTTAAAATCATTAACCAATCAGATGTTTACCGAACTGAGAGTTTAATCGGATCTGGGTCGTTTGGAACAGTTGTGAAATGCGCAAAAGAGGGGACAGATGAGATGGTAGCAATAAAAGTATTCAGTAAGAAGAAATTATGTTATGCTAAGGAGGAGGTGATTGTACATAACCAGCTCAGTGTTCTGGACCCCGACAAACACAACCTGATCAGATTTATTGATAGTTTTGCTTTCGAGGAAAGCTTTTGCCTTGTGTTTGAACTTTTATATCTGAGTTTAGCCGACTTATTAGAACAACCAGATTATGAACGTCTGAGTTTTAGTTACATCAGACCCATCGCTAATCAAATGTTAGTCGCCCTCCAAGCTTTGAAAAGCATTGGAATAACTCACACAGACATAAAACCAGATAATATCATGCTGGTTCATCAGAATCCCCAGTCTGTTAGGGTCAAATTGATTGATTTTGGGATGGCTCGTAAAACAGCTGAATTATCAGATGATTCTTTGATGCAGGCCGATGGGTACAGGGCTCCAGAGGTTATCTTGGGTCTTCCACGTGATGAAGGCATAGATATGTGGGGGCTTGGGTGTACGTTGGCCTTTCTGTATGCAGGCCAACAACTGTTTTCAGAGAATGATTATGACGCTATGAGGTGTATTGCTAGGTGTATTGGTCTACCTGACAC